TCTCTAACGAAGCGGTGCAGGCTGGTAGCTGTATCGAAGACGAAGCCAGCGGAGCTCATTGCTGCTTGCTACGAAATTGGACAACGACATTTTGGAGAGAATTATGTACAGGTAAGCTCATATCACTCTTATCTACGGACAAGCTCTTTCAAAACTGGGAAGAGGATGATTGTCTCACCAGTGAATGGTCAACCGTAACTTTCCAATAGTGAGTCGCTAAATCTTCTGAGCCATCCAGCGGTTGCGCTCGACAAACACACAACACTTTGGTCTTGTCGCCGTACGGAGAATTCGAAATGCTTCAAGTTTTTTTTGCACGGTGGTTTCAAATGCAATAAAATTATTTGAAGTGACATCAACGGCATTGGCCTTTTCGGAGTTGTCACTCCAAATGTATCCCAGGTATACTTTGACATAGTGGGCGAACCGTGGGTAAGCCATCAAAAGGATCACCCCAAACTTAAGGGCAACTGTGGAAGCAAGGCACACAGGGTTTGGGATGACTTCATTGGTGTCAAACAAACTCATTGGACTAGGATACAAATTTCTATGCATTGAGTATATGCTCTGGGTGTGGTTCGATAGAACAGAAAACGGCTTTTCCGCTTTTCGCACGCGAAACTTTTTTCGCTGCGAGAATCCCGGGACCACCACTTGATCGGTGGACCTGAGTTCTCGTAGCAAAAAGTTCGACTGCGAAAAGAGGAAAAGTTGCTTTCATGTCCTATTGAAGCACACCCATATGCTCTCACAGTTACCCTTATCCGTAGGGGCTTCTATTCCCTAAAAGTGGGCGAATCAAAAAGAAAACCGTTCATTTACGAAGAAGTGATACACCTTTTCCGAAAGCATGGTGTTTGAGTAGATTGGTTGGCTCTATTGGTTTTCACCTTTTGTGTGTACTGGACAATTTCTTCTATCTCACAGTACAATTCGAGTGATTGTTGATAATTTGGTAGGCTATGTAAGTGTTCTGCAAGGCCTGCATAAGTATACTTATCAGATTTTCATGTATAGCTAAAGGAACGATTACTTTCAGGAGTTGGAAGAAAAGTCAAATGCTCTCCAAAATCAGTGCCCTGAAATCAAATGGCATTACATTGGCAAAATCCAATCCAATAAGGTATCAGTAGTCTTGCCATAATACATATTCAGCCTGTGATGTTGGTCATTCGGTGTAATTGCAGTGCGTTTTAGTCTTCATGAAAGATGCTTGGGTCTGGTGTTGTATTTTCCAGATAGGCAAGATATGCTCATCGCCCTCTCTGTATTGCGTTGAAACTATCGAGTCGGCAAAACACTGTGATCTGTTCAACCGAGAAATGGAGAAAAGGCAAAACGTGCTTGATGTTTTGGTGCAGGTAAACACAAGCGCAGAAGATCAAAAAGGAGGTGGTGTTTTGAATTTACAATGTTTTCCTTAGTTTCCTTATCTATCATGGAGTCTAGTAACTTGTTTTTCCAAAGTCGGAAATATTGGTCTCGGCTCTCTACAGTTTGACAGGCACACCGGATTACGTAATTACCGAGTTCCTCGTCCCCCTACTATTAAATTTTTGCTGTTTTAGGGTTGTCGATAGAGGATGCTCCCGATCTTGCTTGTTATATAGCCGATCACTGTTCTAGCTTACGCTTTGCTGGTTTTATGACCATTGGCTCTTTTGACCACAGGTACTCATGTTAAGCGAAAAAACGGAAATTTCCGTAAGGTGCGCATACAGGCGAGCTATTCACACAGTTACTCAGAAGACGATTTTAGCCATGTTGTTCCGAATCCTGACTTTGATCGCCTGTATCAAGTCAGGGAAGCATGGGCGAAGAGAGTGTCGCGTTCTCCTGATGAGGTGGAACTTTCTATGGGTATGTCCGACGACTTCGAGACTGCGATTGCCCAAGGGAGCACGAGCGTACGCGTCGGAAGTAAAATATTTGGGCCAAGATTGTACAAGTCCGCGTGAGCGCTGTGATGAGCGTGATGATATGGTTCATTGTGAGATGCTCACTGATTATCAAATATTTTAAAAAATTTTGAGCCGAATACTGGTTGTGTATTTAGTTCTTAACAGTATTGTTGTTGAGATGAGCTCGTAGATCTTCCGAGCACTAGTCATGCATTTTTGAGAGATACGGTTATCTTTTAGGACACTTCTTCTTGTTTTGTGTAACCATTAGCCATGCATTTTCACGCTTATTCTCTCATGTTGTTTTGGTAACTATTAGCATTACTGTAGTCTTTGAATAAATTGCTGCGTATGGTTCACTTCGTCCTGACACCGTTGTGATTTCCGATTCGCTGAAAGTACTTCTGATATTGAGCACTGTTGTGTTCCTTGCATATTTTCAATCATATTTCAGATCTGTCGTCTCCAACGAAGTAGGTCACTCATGCCGTTCGTCAAAACAGACTTCTCAATTCCTCTTAGTGAGCTCAGGCGCGAGTCTGCTCCAAGCAAAACTCAGGAGATCGGTGGAAACAATTTTAGACCAGTGTGTGAGTAGCTTAATATTCTTTATTCAAGAAGTCTCACTCTTGATACCATTGTTATTCTATGAAATCGTGGTTTTATGCTGCTGAGTGTTGCTTCTAGGCCTGAAATGTCGCGTTTTCGAAGGCCCTCCAGGTTCTGCCTACGCGGAATTCGGCGGTACTAAAGTGCTCGCAAGAGTGTGAGTTGAGCCGTTTTGTGCTACTTAATCTATCATATGGTTTTGTTGAATCGCTTGATTTTCAGCTATGGTCCCACCGATGATCCCAACGGTGACTCAAACGCAGCATCCCTGTCGGTTAGTTGCGCATTGCTGTGGCTGTATTTCGTACCATGTCACGTTAGGTACCGTCCATTCTAATTGCGTGTTTATTTCTAGCTTAAAATGAAAGGTCTTCCTAATACGAATCGAATTGCGTCACAAGTTCTATCAGTCATCAAGACATGTGTAATGGTTCACAAATACAGCCAATGCTGCTTTGATATCGAGGTAAGTTTTGTTACAAGATCAATTTCGTTCAGATTTCACCTGACAGTCGGGTGTCTCGTATGCGAGCTCGCCGTTACTCAGCAACGAACGTTGTAATCGAAATTGAAAAAAAATGTACTTTAATTTGTGGTTGAGAACAGCACCTGGGTTTGTGGCTGCACATCCTTTCTTACAGGTCACGGTGTTGAGCGACGATGGTGGGTTGTTACAGTGTGCCCTGATGGCAGCTACACTCGCTCTGGCAGATGCAGAAGTCCTGGTACGTTCGTCGAAGTTGTTTGTGCCTTTTCGGATAGCTCAAGGAACATCTATAACATTTCCGCCTAAAATATGAAAAGGGGATCAATCTGAAGGTTCTGGAAATTGCAAAACTAATATTCAGAATGGCGACAACTTTGCTTTGAAATCTTGTAACTCACAATTCTAATTTTTTTTTTGAAATTTCACGAGCCCAAGCGATTGCCCTTCTGGGGCGGTATCAACCATTATCACCTAGCCAAGTGAATTGATACTCAGGTGTTGGATGTCGTGGTAGCTGCGCACGTGGCACGTATTCCTTCTGGTGAGTGGATTGTGGATCCCACTTCTGAGCAGATTGTTAGTGGTACTTCAGAGTGCACGTTAGCCTTGATGCCAAATCAAAATCAGGTTAGAGAACAAGAGGCTTTTTCGAAGAAAAAAATTCTTGCTGTGTTCCAGATTACGCTTTCCTTTTTTAGATAGTTTGCTGTGATATACGAGGGGGCCACCTAACAAGTTCACAAATAGACGAGTTCATTACGTTTGCTACGGACAAAGCAATGAAGCTTTAT